GGAATAACTTCTGCAGTATTGGTACCACCTCTTCTTCAAAGGTCTGGTAAAATTTGGCTGTGAATTCATCTGATCTAAGGCTTTTGCTGTTGTTGTTGGAAGATATTTTTATTATTGCTTTGATCTTACTGCTTGTTATTGATCTATTCAAAAGTTCTATTTCCTACTGATTGAGTCTTGGGAGGGTTTTGTGTTTCCAGAAATTTGTCCATTTCCTCTATGTTTTCTAGTTTATGTGCATAGAGATTTTCATAGTATTTATAGATGATATGTTGTATTTCTGTGTTATCAGTTGTAATATCTTCTTTTTCATTTTTGATTGAGCTTATTTAGGTCCTTTTTCTTCTATTCTTGGTTAATCTAGCAAGAGGTCTTATCAATTTTGTTTACCTTTTCAAAAAACTCAATGTAATCATCAGGAAAATGAAAATGAAAACGAAAATGAGATACCATCTTACCCCTGTTAGAATGGCTTTTATTAAAAAGTTCAAAAACAATAGATGCTGGCATGGATGCAGAGAGAAAGAAATGCTTATACACTGTTGATGGGACTGCAAATTAGCACAACCTCTATGGAAAACAGTATGGAGATTCCTCAAAGAACTAAAAGTAGACCACCATTTGATCTAGCAATCCCACTACTGGGCATCTACCTAAAGGAAAAGAAGTCATTTTATTGAAAAGACACCTGCACTCGAATGTTTATTGCAACACAATTCACAATTGCAAAGATGTGGAATCAACCCAAGTGCCCATCAATTCATAAGTAGATTAACAAAATGTGGTATATGTATACCATGGAGTACTATTCCTCCATAATAAAGGATAAATTAATGCCCTTTGCAACTATTTGGATGAAACTGGAGACCATTATCCTATGAGAAATATCTAAAGAATAGAACACCACATGCACTCGCTATTAAATTGGAACTAACCAATGAGCACACACGTGCACAGATGAAAGTAGAACTCAGTGGAAATCAAACAGTGGGGGAGGAGGGGATGAGTGAAAACCTACCAAAGGGTACAATGAACACTATTTGGGTGATGGGCACACTTATAGCTGTGACTCGGCATTACAAAAGTGATCCATGTAACCAAAAACATTTGTACCCCCTTAATATTTTGAAATTAAAAAAAGGATCAATTTATCAGTCAAGTATGTATTGAGCACTATATTAAATCTTTTCTGGATCTTACTGATGTACAAATTATAATAAAAATAGGATAATAATTGCTAAATTCACTAAATGCCAGGTATTAAGAACTTAGCATGAATTATTTACTTTAACCCTCACAATTCTATAATGTAGCTGCTGTTATTATCTTTTCCTTTACATATGAGAAATCTAGGGTTCAGATATGATAAATAATATTCTCAAGACCACAGTCAGGAAGTGACAAAACTGGAAATTAAAACTCCGTGTGTATGAGCCCTAAGTCTTTATGTATTAGCTTTCTGCCTAAGTCTTTATTAAAAACAACTGGGAATAGAAGCAAATAACTAATAATGAATATTCAGTAAGAGTACAATAAGAATTTTAGGTGTCAGATCCAAAGGACTTTTTCTCACTTTATAAGCTCCATAAACTATCTACCAAAGTATTACACAATTGTCCACATATACATATTTCTCTTTTCTTCATTTCCAATACATCACCCTTTTCTAGATAATACCATACTCGTGGGTCGGCAGAATCAACATTGTTAAAATGTCTATACTACCCAAAGTGATCTACAGATTCAATGCAATCCCTATTATAATACCAACATCATTTTTCACAGATATAGAAAAAATAATTATACGCTTTGTATGGAACCAGAGAAGATCCTGTATAGCAAAAGCAATCCTA